AATTATTTATCTTTTTATTTTTAATAATTAAAATTTATTTACTTTTTATCATATTTATTAAAAATAAACTTTCTTTAAAGATAAATTAGTTCAATGTGCTACATAAACAATATCATTTGAAAGAACAAAATTAACATATATATATTAAGTATAAGAATGCTAAAAAAAAAAAAGGTAAAAAGATATAAATGAATAGTACTTCATAAACAAATGATAATAGATCGTTTTTATTCAATTAATCTTTTTTTTTTCAATTTTTTGTATTATCTTCATTCTCCTTATTTTTTCTCATTATCATTAAAAGTAATTTTAATAATAAAAATAATAGATATGGTTAAAATGATGTAAAATGAGAAGGTATCTCTTTACAAATAAATTTTATATATTATATTTATATAAAATATTAATCATTTATCTTTTTATTTTTAATGATTGAAGTTTATTATAATTTTTAAGTAAAAAACAATTATTCTTAATAAATATAAATAAATTTTAACTATTAAAATTATAAAAATAAATAATTTAAATTTTATATGATATACAATATTTATATATAAATGAATTCTATGAGTATAAAACATATAAGGAGATAAATGAAAATGATAGAAATTAAACCGAATGGATTGGGCCCACTGGGGCGTAAGTCCACATTCGTTGAAGTACAAAATTCAAACTTAGTTTCATAACATTAGTTACAGTATTTTTCATATAATTTTTATAATTTAAATATTTGATAAATTATTTACCTTTATTTTTTTAAAAAAATATACCAAAAAACATTTTATTCAAAGCTAATAAAATTCTTAAATAATTTAATATAATTTTCAAATTATTTTTCGTATATTATATATATTAAATTATTAATTAATTTAATTTTAAACAATAATATATATATAATTGAATAATTTTTCAATCTATAGTTATTTTGAAATATAATTGTCAAATATTGAAATACTTTTCATTATAATATAACATGACATTTCTAACAGGTACAACTACAACACATATGGCAACAGCAGACACTATTGTCCAACTAAGCCTAACACTCCAACGGCCGAATTCAATTTCTGATGACAAGCCTCCGGCCGACCTAACAATCCCGCCGGGGAAAACAAAAAAAAAAACCAGAGATTGCAGACTATTAACTTAATTTCAATCCCTTTAATTAAGCTTAACAGAGATTATTATACAGCAATATCATTACGAATGTGCCTAAGAATCACAGGGATCAGGATATCCGGCGAGCTCAAATGGGGCAGATGCCCGTCCGTCGGCAAGACTTCGACGATGGAATCCCCGCCGAGATGCTGGTGCAGGTACTCGGATACCACAACAGGGACAGCCAAATCCTTCCTACTCTGTATTATGTGGGTGGGAGCAGTGACCAATCTCAGGATCTGCCTCATGTCACTATGAAATATGGTGTGCGTCACGCTCAGGGCTATGTCGGGTCTCATGTTGAAGAGTGTCCGGCTCAATTCCTGCAACGCCACCGAGTCCATGTCGCCGCCAACACACAGCGGCGCGAACCCGGAAACCCACGCCTTGTAATTTGTCCGCATTGCTTCGAATAGCTGGTCCAGGTCTTCTTGCTCAAATCCCCCATTGTAATCGGCATCGTTCAAATATCTATAAAAATAAAAACAAAACATCAATATAACTCAAAACACTTAATCAGCTTTAACCATCAAATGATTTAAATAAACCTTGTAAAATGTAATTAAATGATATAATAACGAATTGAAAGCCACAAAAATAAGTAGTTTATACTGCATTTTAATTTAATAATACTTACTTCACCGAACTACAAACTGGAATCAGGGCCTTGGACGAGAGACTATTCCATATTCAGGGTCTCTCTGTTCAAGTCAGACTCCGCAACGTGGTTCTGTTTCTTTAATATTCATGATTCTTATTTATTATTATTATTTTGTGTGTGTGTGTGTGTGTGTGTGTGTTAATTGATATACCTGGGAGAGCCGGAGAGCATGATGAGTTTGGAGAAGAGATCAGGGCGGTTAATCGAAGCGATGGCACCAACCATGGCGGAAACAGAGTGGCCGACGTAGACACAGGACTCAACCTGGAGCTCCTCCAGGATTGCGAGCAAATCATAGGAGAATCCTTCTAAGGTGGAATACCTATTAAAATCGAAGTAGTTAGGGTTGGTGGTGCCGGCGCCCATGTTGTCGTAGAGAATCACACGGTGCTCGTCCACAAGGTGAGGAACCAGTTGCTTCCAAACCGACTGGTCGGTACCGAACCCGTGACCCAGGACTATGACTCGCTCGCCGGACCCCAAGACCTTCACGTTGTGAGCTTCTTCCACTATCCCCATCGTCGCCCCCCGGAGCTCAGGACTCTGTTTCCCCTCAATCGTGGAAAATATTAAAAGACCTTTCGGCTTGGGTTTGGTGCTTGCTCGTGCGCTTTAAAGGGATCCATTAGGACCACATAGGACAAAATTTTAAGATGTGTATCATTGGGGTTTTGGTTCTGTGTGCGTGAGTGTAGGATAATGTTTTTATATTCGTTCGTTATGATTGGATTGAACGGTTGCTAGAGGGTCTGTGGATGATCGAGAAGGTGAGATGGTCGGATTGATTTGTAGCATACAGATACTTCGGTGTGGAGAGATGGTAGTGTGGTCACACAAAACTGAATACTTTTAATGTTGATTTAACCACCTCCCAAACCATAGTGCCTTGAGTCATTTGACTAATAAAGGCATCCCGGAATGACATTTGGTACTTTTGAATACCGTCATGGGTACTTGCAATTATTCCATTCCCTCGTGCGTGTTAGATTTAATTGTCTCATTTTGATTTTGATTTTGATTTTGATTTTTAGATGGGGTTAGATTTAATAATTATATATAATAAGTAAATAATAATTCAAATTTTTTATTTTAATAAAAATACTTAATTGGTCTGTTTGGTAACGTAAATTTGAAATAATGTATTTGAATTTGAGAGGTTGAAATTTAATATTATTGTTTGTTTTTACTTAAATAAAATGTAATTGAATTTACAGAAAATACATGCATTTCAACAGAGTATTTTCAAAGGTTTAAACCTGTGTATTTCAATTTCACTCTCAAACCTATGAATTTCAATTTTGAAATGAATTTCCTCTCCACTCTCTCCTCTCACCGACGGCGATGAGGCCACTCAAACCTCTCCTTGATAGCAGGTTTTTTGTGCGAGGAGGATTTTGGTTTTGCTCGGATTTTGGGGTTTCGTTTGCTTTAGGTAGTTTTCTGCAGATTCATCGAGTCTTGGCGACGAGAAGGGGAACATACACAGAGGGATGATGATGGCAGTGACAGAGTTTTTGGCCATGGAAGATTTCGATCTGATGGTGGAAGCAGTGGGGGTCGAGGAAAAAGAGTGATGTATCTTAGCTTACCAATCAGTTTTGCTTTGGACTGCGAGGCGGCATGGCTATCTTGCCCTGTCAACGATGAGTGAGGAGGAAGGGGTTTGGTTGGCTTCGGGAGGAATTGGGAATTGTTTTGTCAATGGTGGCTAAGGGGTGGCCGATGGCGACGACGGCTCTTTTTCGGCAAGGGCTTGCGTTTCTCGGTGGGATTGCTTGAATCGAATTTTTCAATAATTGGATGGAATTGAGATTCTGAGGGGATTATACTTTTCAGAAAAATCAGGATTTGCTCCATTTGAATTTAAATTGAATTTCTGTTACTTCTCATGCCAGATGGCATCAATAACTGGGTTGGAAATTTTGGAATTAATAGTGCCAAAGATTACATTTTCATAATGAAGCGACATAGGAATAAGTTTTTTTATAATTTTTTTTTATAATTTTTGTATACTAATTATATTAATTTGTATCCATATCAATTTTTTTTAAAAAATAAAGTTATAATCTTATAAGATTAATTCTATCTCAACTTTTAAACTCAACTCAATGGTTTACTTGGAAACCTTCAACAAAGAATGTTATATTTATATTTCATTTTGCAATCAATGAGTGTTACTTCAACTACTTGTTAATGAATATAATTGTTAGAAGTTTTCAATGAAAAATGTTATATTTCTATTTCATTTTGCAATTAAGAAGTGTTATCTCAATTATTTTGTTAATGGACATAGTTGATAATCATTTTAGATACTAT